GAGAGGGGGGAAATGTGGATGGAGGTGGGGAAAGGGCCGGCCCCCCTCCCCTGGACGTCTGGTGTACACTCTTGCCCTGGCAGCAGCTTCGCTCGTTTGTGGTTCATCTTTCCCCCCCCACCCCCTCGCACCACCACCACCACCACCACCGCATGCAGGCGATGTTTTAAGGAGGAGACGTTCGGCCCGCTCATTCCGTTGTTCCGATTTCGTTCCGATGAGGAAGCCGTACTGCTGGCAAATACGACAGAGTACGGACTGGCAGCTTATTTCTACACAAGAGACTTGGCTCGTGCCTGGAAGGTGGCTGAGGAGCTGGAGTTTGGAATGGTGGGTTTGGTTTCGGAGGGGAAGCAGTGCGTGGGTAGGAGGGGCCCAGGGCGGAGGATGAGGAGGATGAGGAGAAGGAAAAGTGTTAATAAGGTGGTGAGGTGGGTGGTAGAAGCGAGTGATTATCAGTGTCTATTTAGCTAGCTAGGAGGATCTATCTAATACTGTCCGGAGATGGTAGATGTCTGGTGGCTCACAGCATGGGCGTTGGTCGCCCCTAACTGTTCCCCAACTGTCCCCTAACTGTCCCCTAACTGTCGCCTAACTGTCGCCTAAGTCTGCAGAGACCCCTTTGGCCTTTGTTGCTCTTTGTTTTAATTTTTTGACTAACTAGTTTTAACTTTCTGAACGGATCTTCTTTTTACACATCAATTGCAATCGCACATGAGCCCGGAGAGCTCCGTTTACCTGTTTCGTAATCTGTACCTCCTAATCTGTACCTCATAATTTGTACCTCATAATCTGTACCTCATAATCTGTACCTCATAATCTGTACCTCATAATCTGTACCTCATAATCTGTACCACCCAAACGAATGTTTCAGATCGGGCTGAACGAGGTGGCCATCACCTCGGAGGTGGCGCCCTTTGGCGGGGTGAAGGCCAGCGGCCTGGGCCGGGAGCAGTCCAAGTACGGCCTGGCGGAGTTCCTGGACGTCAAGTACGTGTGTATGGGCCTGGGGTATTCCCCGGCGTCGTAGTCGGCGGGCGAGGGGGCCCCCGGGCGGAGGAGGAAGCAGTTGTACGGCATCTCTCTCCAGCCGGTACGCGAGAATAGCCTTGCTCCTCTCTCTCACCGTGGGCATGGACTCCCGTGAGCCCGCAGCCCGTGTATACCGCTGTACCGGCCTGCGACCTAGCCGGCTGTTTGTTTGCTTTAGACTAGTCCCCCTGGTTCTCGCGGACTTGAGGTTTGTAGGAGGCTGTATAAGGGGTAGCGGTAGTGACGCGGGTGGGGTTAGTTGCGGTGTTTAAGACCAGCCAGATCTGGTTTTCTTTATCTCGCTGCAGGCTGGCCTCTCTTACTCTGTCTGTCTGGCGTGCGTGTATGTATGTATGTATGTATATGTCCTGTGGGCGGAAGTCTGTTGCTGTGTAGTGATGGTTCCATGCGGTGTCGAGTTGTTTGGGTGTTGGGTGTGTGTATGTATATGTGAATGTGAGTGTGTGTATGTATGTATGTGTGTGTGGTGCCGTTCGGGACGGTGATGGTGGTTGTATGTGGGGGGGCTGGGAAGTGCAGGAGGGGGATACGCACAGGGTTGTTGTGGGGCTGGAAAGGTGGGGCGGGCGAGATAAATGACTCTTTGGGATGGTGGGGTGGTGAGGTTGAAATGACTTGGACATCCAGCATGGGAGTCTTTCACTGGCGCTGTGATTTCGATTGGCTGCTCGTCCAGCGGTGGTTATGGGTTGGTTGGCTTCCGCACAAACTGGAATATTCGTTGCAAACGGGTTATCTAACTATATACATGCATACGTATGTATATGTATATATATGTATATATGTATATATATATATATAGGGGGGGACGCAGGCCTTGCGTGTGTGCGGAGCGGGGGGTTTCACACAAGGGAAGTGAAGAGCCCTTTTTTGTTAACCGCCGTGCTGTTGGTTGGGGGTTGTTTGTTGTCGGTTGTAGTCGGTTAGTGGCCCAAGTTGGCTGGCCCCCAGCGTGGGATTATAGGGTTTGACGACATCGCCTTACATGCTGCGGAGACTCTTCATGTTCGTACTGTTGTACTGTCGTACTGTCGTAGCACTGTGGGGTTCCATCCGTTGGGCATTTGCAGGTTGGCGATTTGGTGTTTTGAGTACACGGGAGAAGCTGCAGATAGGGAGGAGGTTAACGACGTCGTGGTGCTGGAGGAGGAGGAGGCGGAGGAGGAGAAGAAGGACGGGAAAAGTAGGAGACAGAAAAAGGGGGGAATGAGCGACGCGGCAAGTGCCGCAGCGGCGTCCCCCTTCCTTGTAAAATCCACTGACATCGGCTGGTACGGCTGGTACGGAAGCCAGGCCAGGCGTATCTCTCTCCATCCATCCCGCCCTCCATATACACATCGCTCGCTATATACATGGCAGGCGGCTGGCAGAGGTTAAGGCCTGACTTCTGCTCCCGGCCGACCCGGGTTCAAATCCGCCTGCCGGCTCCTCGGGTGTTTGAGGAGTGATGAAATGGGAGGTGGCCCCCCATCATATGGACGAAGTAGGACATGGTAAAATCAACTTGCGAGCTGACCAGGAATTAAGTTGATGCGCCGTTGATCCGCTAGGTTTGGTTGGATGCTGGTGGTGAGTTGCCGAACCCAACGAATACATTCTGAAGTCGGATGGGGTGACGGATTAGGGTGCCCCTCTAGCAGGGGAGAGCAGGGAACTGCCTCGGGAAAGGGGGTCGCTGGCGAAGTTAACCACCCTGTAACAACATATATACATGGCTGTCATGACCGCCCGCATGACAAGGAGCGTGCGTGCGGCGCGGTGGTGTCAGGTCGGTGATCACCTCTTCGGGCACTCGGTTCTGAGAACGAGCGACACGTGCTGCTGTAAATGTCCGTATAATGGAGACGTATGCAGACGTAGGCGCCGAACTTGGGAACGTAGGCGCGGCGCCAGGGGTGGCTTGGATTGCAAACGGTGTCGTAGGTTGCAGTTGGAGCACATAAACGACTACAGCGGTTCACGAGGCTTTCTTTTCCCCTTCCTATTTTACCTTTTTTCATCATTTCTTTTCAGTTGTGAGTGGCGGCTGGCAGGTCCTAGAATACTGCCAGCTCGTCCAACAGGACAGGCTACCCAAGCCTCTGCTGTTTGTCGGTAACAGCACCTCAAGACTCACAACATTTTACACCCAAGCAAGGGGCTATCGGTGGCAGGTCGCGGACCTCCCGAATACGTGTAACGGCCAATGAGTCTTAGCCATGTCTGCTAGGTCCCTGTGACATAGCGTCTCACCAACACTATCGATGAATTACGAATCATGAATCGTGATCAATCTATCGTCGTCGCTCCAACCAGGGGTGCTGCGCAGCCACGTGCGCCGGGGGACGCTCCTCCGGGTCCCACTGCAGCAGCGGCGTCAGGAAGCTGTGCAACCCCGCCCACTCGGTCTCGTCCCATTCGTCGCCGCCGCCGTCGCCGTCGCCGCCGCCGCCGCCAAACCTGCACTCCGCCTGACATGTACATATACATGTACACGAACACGCACACTCGTCATTCCTGATCGCCCGTACCCCTTTCATCGCCCTCCAAGTGCCATACCGGCCAACAGCGAAGGCCGCACCCTCACAGCTTTTTGCGGCATGCGGCGCCGTCCGGGTCGCAGCCCAGCCGACCAGCCTTCGTTGCCCCTCAGCCGCAAACCCCCCTGTACCGCCGCCGCCGCCGTCGTCGCCGCCGCCGCCGCACATTCCCTCTGCGGACTTGAGTTTCCCAGATCGGCCTCCTCCACTGACATTGGCGAACGTGTCGGCCGCGACGTCTGTGATGGCCTCCCACCCACCCCCACTCTGACCCCACCCCTGCCCCTGCATCTCCTGCTTCTGCGGCAGGCTGCTGCTCCCCATTTTCGACGTCAGCTGTAGTCGCTGCGCCAAGCTACAGCTTGCTGGCATTTCAAACTCGTCCTCGAGGAGTAGCTGCCGCCGTGCCGCGTCAAAGTACCACCCCGCTCGCGGCGCGCGCTGTAGCAGCCTCCGCGGCGGCCTCCCCAAAAGTTGCACTACCAGGGCTAGGTGCACCTCCGCCGCATCAGGCCAAGCCGATGGCTCGCTACTGCCGCCGCCGCCGCTGCCGTCACCCCACGTTTCCTGCTGCGGGCGCAGTAGCTGTGGCGATAGGGGCAGAAGCTTGGATCCGGTGGCCAGTTCGTACACCGTACAGCCCAGGGACCACATGTCGGAGGCGGCCGACGGCGGCAGGCCTAGCGTAAGCTCCGGGGCTGCGTACGATGGGGTGTCGTACCAGGCTGCCGCCGTAGCATCAGCACCACCGGCGTCGGTGCTGCTGCTGCTGTCGCCGCCGCCGCCGCCACCGCATAGGTTGCCGCACGGACGCACATGACCTGTAAAGTCGAGAAAAGAGGGCAAGACGGCGCCCCGGGTTGATGCATTCGACATGTGACATTGATGTGCACTGCCCCGGGCGGGCTTCGACATCCAACAAGGCAAAATATATTGAAATCAACGTTTGCAGCATTGTTTGACGATCTACGTCCCGTCATAATTACGTTTTTGCTTCAGAGCATATCCCTTTTTATGCAGAACATCAATTCTGCAAAAGCTTAACCGCTAACCTCAACAGTATCCGTTAAAACTCAGCTGGTCATAACTACCATAGTTACCAACTGCCATCCGTTACATTGACATGTTCACCCGTTTAAACCAAAGCACTCGTATGCCCAGTTCTACAACAAAGGCAGTACCAGAAAGTGCTCAGGGGGCCCCCGATAGATTACCCTTTGTTCCCATACCCCATCCTGCCGTACTGCCGTACTACCCCCTGAGCCCTATATGATCAACTAGCCATCTCCGGCACCTGCACCTGCACCATTAGCAGCCTAACCAGGCAACCCCTCAGCGGTGTGTCCTCTCTCCTTCCCAACTCCCCCACGGTCACCTCACGCCAGCCGACCCGCGGGTCCGTCCGCCACCCGCTGCCCGCCAGGCTTCAGGCTACATGCGCTGCCTAGATCCAACAGAGCCCAACACCCCCCTCCGGCCGGTGTTGGGAGCTGCAGCCGCCACCGGCAGCTGCCCGACTCTTGTTGGTGCCCGTATTCTTGCTGATGCTGATGCGAGTGCTGGTGCGAGTGCTGATGCTGATGCTGGTGCTGGTGCGAATGCAGGTTCGGGTCCTTCCCCGGGTCGTCATGACCCAAATCAGGTGACGGCGAAGCAGCGGCAGCAAGGAGGAGGTCCCGCGCTCGGCAGGCGGGCGGCGAGGTGGTCGGGATGAGGCGGAGGGCGAAGTTGTCGGGCTTGATGTCGCAGTGGACCAGTTGGGCTGCCCTACCGGGGGACGGGGAGGGTGAGCGCCAAGCGGTGTGGCGTCAGTAACAGTGTGGCGACATTTCTGGGGTGCGGCGGCGGTCAGCGGTGATGACGGGAGCGGATGGCAGGAGGAGCTGAGGCCGCCGACGGGAATGCAGCGGCAGCGGCAGCGGCGGCGGTGGCGGCGGCGGTGGCGGCAGCGGCAGCGGTGGTAGCCTTCATTTCCTAGGGAGACACCGGTGTTCGCGCAACGCAGCGCAGTAAGGTAGCTGTAGAAGAGAAAGGTGGACAGTTCCCGGACTCTCCTCGCCTTCGGGTGGACGACACACACATACACAGTTTTTGTGTTACTATGGTAATGATAATAATGATAACAATGATAATAATAATAACAATAATAATGATAATGATAATGATAATGGTAATGATAATGATGATGATGATGATCCCATGTAGGCAAAACTACAACTTTTCGACAAAAAAAGAGAAAGGAAGGTTCTAAAGGGAAAGAAGGGTTCTATTTACTCGGCGCGCACACCGCAAGAAGCCTGTTGGGAGGAAAGCTCAAGACATTTTCCCGCGGCGGTCATCGGCGGTTTCATCGGCGGTTTCTTGTACATGGCGCCCCCCCGGCCCCCATGATATGATAAGGGTGACTTTTCATTCAGATGCAAATTATTTCCCTGACTACAGCTCATAGCTCGTGTCGGAAGTGTTGGGATTTCGGAAGCCCCGATCCAACAACATCCAATAGCCGATCTCGATCCATTCCGATTTGACAATGCCTGTTTCCCCATACAAGACTCCGCGCCCGTCAGCACCTGTGCATGAGGTCCAACGCCGCCAAAGCCTGGAGCGCGAAGCACTTCACCGCCTCAGGGCCCAAGCCGCCAGGAGGTGGTTGCCGAAGCGGCGTCGCCGCCGTCGCCAGTCCCCCCTCCTCCCGCTGCTGCCGCTGCTGCCGCTGCTGTTGCGGTCGCTGCTCACATCCCAATAGTCGCCGCCGCTGCTGCTGCTGCTGCTGCTGCTGCTCCTCTCCTTTCGCTCCTTGCTGCTGCTGGTTCTGGAGCTGGTGCTGGCGGCGCTCGCGGTGCTGCCAGGCCTTCAGCACGTCCGTCGCTGTGGGACCCAGACGCTCCAGAACCAAGCACCTCCAATGCCGTATAAGGGGCCCTTGTCGCAGTGACCCAGCGTATGCGGCAGAGGATGCCGCCGCCGCCTCAGCAGCGTCAGGCGGCGGTAGTAGCGGCTGGACCCTCGGTAGCCGGGCGCCGCCGCCGCCGCCGCCGCCCTCCGCAGAACAGCGTTCCGCTGCCGCCGCCGCCGCCGCCGCGGCAGCTGGGAGCATATCCGTTGTGAAGGTGCCCAGTAGACGTACAAAAGGCGGGCCGTCAACGACTCCTGCAGCTGCGGCTGCTGCTGCTGCCACTGCAGTTGCGCGGGTACCGCTTAAAACCCTAGTCGTGTTGCCCTTGTCGCTGCTGCTGATTTTGCTGCTGCGGCGGCAGACGCCACAACTGATTTCGTCCTGGGCAACGGCGACCGGTGCGGCGGCAGTGGCGGAGGCGACAGCGGAGGCGGAGGCCGCCAAATGCCTGAGCGCCGCTGCCTCGTTAGCTGCCACGGCGGCGTGGGTGGGCTGAGACGCATCCATCGCCTGTTGAAGGTTAAAGCGATGTGCGCAGCTAAAGGCCAGAACCTTTTCTTCGTAATTTTCGCGACGCAGGGAACAAACAGAGCCTAGTCAAACTCCTTTGTACCGCTTGGAACCCACCTTCACGACCACTACTTCGCCCAAATCCTCCCCCCAGTCGTCCCCCGCGCCGTTTCGGTCCGGTTGACCGATGCATTGAGCGAAAGCCAAGCTGCGTTGACCTTGGCGGCTGTCGGCCGCCTGAGCGTCGCGGGTCGGAAGGGGAGCTCTCCAAGGAACGGATGCGAGCCATACCGACGAAAAGTGCGTCTTTGCAAGAAGTTGTCGCAGAACATAGCCGCCGGGAAGCTGAGGGGCTGAGGCTGCGGACGCACCGACGAGGATTGTCTGCTGCGATGACATAGTTGGAAAGTAGGCCCGTCAGGATTTGGCCTCCAGGGATTACATTCATGAAAAAAATGTGCTATCATGCTAGGACTTTAAAGAGCCCTCGGTGTGAAATCATTGTTTCATGAGCCATCCCGCGACGGTTGGCTGTTTGTGAACAGGTCACTTATGTTTCTGCCGAGTACCAGATAGGTGTTAAGCTCAATCGTGTATGCTGCCGTGAATAATGACAGCTCAACTTTATCTACGTCCAATCTGCAGCCTCACAGGTTTAAATCTATCTGCCGTCACAACCATAAGTCCTTAAGTTTTCCAGCAGTCTATAGAAAAATCACACAGGATAATAGGTTAGCTGCGAGTCGATTTCGGTTTTTGTCCATGTGCCCTAGGCGAGTAGGGCTACAACGGACATTATGCTATTGTGCCGTCAGAGCGTTGTCGAATCATGCTCTGCCTGCTCCTTAAGATAACTTTGGCATCAGTTGAAAGATGTTGCCAAACTTATCCATCTTGGCATCCATCCTCGCCGGCTCGCCCAGGAAGGATGCTTGGAGCCGAGCTGTGTCTCTCGCGACATGTATCGCACGGGACGCCTCTCCCTCATGTCCACCAGCCGCGAACGCACGAGTACAGGCACACGTACATGCTCACAAATGCGTGGCTAACACACAGTTGTCCACACATGCCCAATTCGCCCAGCTGATAAAAGCAATTACATAGTGCTGTTGGAAAGTGACCGACACTCATATACCAGACAATGGTAGCAGCAGTAATAGGACCCGGCTGGGGTCCGGCGCTTTGCTGGTCTTAATCATCTCCAACCGACTGTAATATCTAAGTGGGATTACACTATGCCATTCTATTATTAAGGTACACATCAAGCCTTCTTCACAGGTCTCCATAACAAATTGAACTCCACAACCCCACGTCACAAAAGTAGGGAGACACACACACACACACACACACAGCCTCCTCGTAGCTCGTCAGATCAATAAAACGCATACATACATACATACAGTCATACATAGTCATACAATCATACACACATATATACACATATACACACAATCATACATACAGCCATACATACAGTCATACATACAGTCACCACTATCACTGCTACTACTACTACTACTACTACTACTACTTCCACTTCCACGACCATCTGTACTCTACCTCTACCTCAGCCACCTCAGCTAGGCGCCGTAACGCTCATGTGGTACAGCTGCGCCTCCTCAATAACGCTCCCATCGCTCAGCTCCGCCCGGTACTGCAATCCTATATCCAAACTACGGTGCTGTTCACGACTGCGAACCAGGCTGATGCGACCGCTCAGAGTCAACGCACCAGGACGACCTGCCTCGCCCCCGCCTGCTGGCAGCGGCGGCACGGGCCCCAGCAGCGGCACGGGCTTCCGCAGCGTGAGCAGCGTCTGCACCCAGTGTGTTGCGGGCTGGTAGGGTGACGTGGACAGCACCACTGGGTGCTCGGCGCAGTGGCGCTCGGAAAACTCGGTGTTGAACCACAGCACGATGCAACCAACCTCTCGGGACTGCTGCAACTCCGGCGGATGATGCGGCTGCGGCTGTTGGCCGGCAGACGGTGCGGTTGTGGTTGTTGTTGTTGCTGTTGTTGGCGGTGGCTGCGGCTGCAGCGCCTGCAGGCGGAACTCCGCCGTGAAGTCCTGATCCTCGGGTTTCATGGTGCACAAATCCAGCTCCTGCGGAAGCAGCCGCCGCCGCCGCCCGCCGCAACAGCAACAACAGCAGCGGCAATGACACGCAAGCACACAAACAAACAGACAGACATACATGCAGCGCGGAGACATCAAAAACCCCATGTGTCGGGGGAAAACGGGCAGTGGCAGCAGCAGCGGTTACGGTAACAGCAGCAGCAGCAGCAGCAGCAGCACAACCCCAAACCCGATATCTACCTTGACGCACGCCGTGTCGGTGAGGATGTGTTCGGGCCGCACCTCGAGCACCACCGCCTGCCCCCTACCCGCCTCCGCAATCGCCTCCGCCACGGGACTCATGTCGAAGCCGTACACGTCGGACCAGAAGCCCAGTCCGCCTGCCGCGCTGCTGGCACCTGAACAACGAGCGAAACTCAGTAAATACATACATACATACATACATACATACATACATACATACATACATACATACATACACGAGGTAATCGATCAGGGGTCGTCCACGACCGCGCACCAGCCATGATCTTGGGGCCCCCCATCCCAGGTTGTCGAAGGCGCTACACCGCACCATCCATACACCGTGTAATCTACACCACGTGCTACATCCGACTATCCTCTCCCTACACCCGTTCCCTACACACTCACCCCCACGCGCCTCACCCACCCGCTATGAAGATGGATGCTCTGTCCGGCAGCAGCGCCCCCCCGGGTTTCAGGTACACGTCCCGCGCGTGCAACACGGTGTCTAGCATGGTCTCGAACAGCAGCGCATAGCCCATCCACTCGCTCACGATGACGTCCACCTGGGCCAAGGGGGGGGAGGGGAGGTTTGGAGAGGTTTTAGGGTTAAAGGGGGGGAGAGAGAAATCCCATCATCCATCATTTCCCCACGTGAGGGCCTTAGGGTCGCCAGTTGATTCTGTACTGAAATGTACGGCATCTCCTCACCTGTTGGACGGGCAGCTTGTCCCCCAGCTCCTCCAGCTTGCCAGATACCACCGTCATGGGCCCGCCCCTGGAGTCGCTGTAGCCTGCTAGCTCGGCATGGCGCCTGAAGATGGTTTGTTTTTCAGAGGGCGAAGATGAGGGTGAAGAGGAAGGGCGAAGGGACGAAGAAGGGAAACCATAACGTACAGCACGATAATGTACAGCATCCGGCTTTGCAACCGTGCATATCCGATTCGTTGCATAGCACCAGAATGCCCAAGATCACGGCCACTGGTGTGTGTGTGTGTGTGTGTGTGCGTGTGTGTGTGTGTGTGTGTGTGTGTGAGAGGGGAGAGAGGTGCGCCATGGGGAAGGAAGAGAGAGAGAAAGAGAAAACGAGGGAGGTGCCCGTTCAGGCGCCCGGCGGTCCACACCACATTCCCCCCAGCACCACCACGATAACCACAACCCCCCCCCTCGATCACCCCCGCCCCAACGCACCTAGCAAACCCCGCGATCCGCTCGCTGCCATCCACCGCCACCACGCGAGCAGCCCCCCCTCGGCATGCGAACAGCGACAATATGCCCGTCCCGCAGCCCACATCCAGGACCGTGGCGCCGCGCATCAGGCGGGGGTTGTGCTCCAGGGCGGCCTGGTACGACTGCGTGCGGGGCTGCGGGTTGGAAACCCCCGAAGTGAGGGGAGGGGAAAGGGGGAAAGGGGGGGGGAGGGCCCAGAGAGAAATCGGTAGGAATTTATAGGAATACCAGCTCAGCAAAAATAGAGGGGAAGGGAGTTAAGTAAGGGTTACATAGGAGGCGGCCGTTCAGGACAGTTGGTGGTTAGTAGTTGGCGGTTAACCACGTGTGATACTGTGCATGATGAAGCGTTAAGTGTACGGGTTGTTTAGTGGGTGGGTGGGGGTTGTTGAGACGAACTACTTGTGGCTTGAATGAAAGCAGATACCAGAGCTAGACGGATAATCCCGGAGAAGATGAATGGGGTTGCGGGGTGCGGGGGGTTGGGGGAAGGGAAGGGGCAACCCTTCCTCGCCCTAGCGGAATGCGTGTTAGAGGCGGTGGTGGCGGTGGTTTAATCGCCATACGGGAACGGGCTCAAAAAGACGAGCAGTAATCACAGAGGCAGGTGGACCCTGAAGCAACCGGACCATGAAACGAATGCGAGAGCTACTATACTACTGAAACTCGGACAAGTCACCAGAATGGATATACCACCTAGGAGCGAGGTCCATAGACGGTTTTTCGTTGGCGGTTTAAGTTAGTTGGGGCAACAGAGGACCAACGGACGATGACGGGGCGACCTGATCCCCCCCCTACCTTATCCCCCAGCATCTCCCGGTGTATGTCGAAGTAGCTGTAGCTGTCGAAGTACGCGGCGTCCACTTTCCGCGCCTTGGCGGCGGCAGTAGCTTCCGGGTCCGCTGCCGCCGCTGTTCCCGCCGCCGCTGCCGCCGCAGCAGCAGCAGTGGAGCCAGCAGAAGTTGTCGGTTCGGCGACGCCGGCGCCTGGGGCTGCGGCGCCTGGCTGTGCGCTTGTGCTGGGACCGGCATCCCCGCCGTCAGCTGTGTCACCGACGAGAGGTCCGGATGGGACGACGGTCGGCCCGGGGCACATGGGTTGGGAAAATAGTAGGAAAGGTAGGGAGAGGGAGAGGTAGGAAAAGAGAGGGAGAGGTGGGGAGAGGGAGGGGTAGGGAGAGGTAGGAAAAGAGAGGGAGAGGTGGGGAGAGGTAGGAGAGGAAGAGAGGAGAGAGCATAGACATACCGCGGCGGGGCTGGGGGACCCCCACGCCGTGTACAGCTGTGCCGTACAACGTGAGCTTTGCAAGCCATATGCCGCCACCTCCAGGGGACCTTTGTACGACTCCCATGTCCCGCGCTAAAATGTCCATTTAAAAAACTCTCCGCCTCCCCGTTTACCCCCCGGGGATAGAGGTGGGTTGCCCCTTCTTCTCCCCCTTGCGCCCACAAAGAAGTACATAAATACACGCACACGCACGCACCTTCCGGCAGCTCCTCCGGCAGGAATTCCCGACGCATAGCCGCCAACGCCGCCCGAAGCGCCTCGTTCTCCTCACGCAGCTGAGCCACCAGCTCCGCGGAGGTGATGACCCCGGCAGTGGCAGAGGCAGAGGCAGAGGCTGTGGCAGTGGCGGCACCGCCGCTGCCTTGACCGCCTGCAGCGCCGCCGCTGCTGCTAGGCATGCAGGCAGGCAGGCAGAGCCAAAGACGGGGGGATCACGGCCGCGGGAAGGCATCAGGCGTTGAAGAAAGAATAGGGCCTAGAGCATGATGGACTGGTGTGTATGGCGTACGGTCTGATACCCGGCAGACCCAAATATGTTTTTTTTAATGTCTTCTGCAGCACAACTCATTTGAGTCATATCAAGTTTGTCAGATTGGAGGCGTTGTTTTGGGGGAGCAGGCGTGGGAGGCGAGGAAGCTTGCCAGTCATAGGCTACTGCTGCGCAGTCTCCTGCAAGCTCGGTCGTACACGTACATACATACGTACATAAACACAATATATACATACATATACTCGGTGCTACAACATACATACATACATACAGAAAATTACGTGGAGCGGTGGAAATAAACCCTATCGCCATTGCCTTGCGGTGGTAACACCATCATGTATATGCCGCGCCACCCACCCGCCCGCTGCCACCACGTCCTCAAAATCATAGGACAGCAGTGCGTCGTCTTCCATGGCGGGGACCAGGTAGCGGTCGTCAACCCAAGGTACGGCAGTGGTGGCGGCGGCGGCGCCAGCGGCACCACCGGAACGTGTGGCCGCCGCCGCCGCCGCCAGCACCGGTAGCGGATCCCTGCCGGCAGCCACCTCCGAGCGGATGAAGTTGATGACGCGGATGATGCCGTACTCGTCAAGGTGTTGCTGGTGATGGGAACATGAGGGGAGGTGGGTCAAGGGCCCGTGGCAGCGTCTGATGCAGGCGTACGGCGTGGATGGTCTACTATGATAAACGTTCAGACCATGAGGAAGACGGCAAGTGGTTTGGGAGGGAGGTTTCTAAGGGCGAGAACCGGGATAACTCCGACAGAAAAAATAATAGACAAACCACAGAGAAGGCTTTGTAAGGAGAGGAGGCCAGGGTCGGGAATGAGCTGTAGGAAAGTGGATATGGACTGGGGTTGGGTGTGAGAGAGGGGTGCGCGAATGTCGGCATTTTTCCGTAAACATTCTGGTGACCTTGCTACCTTTGCGCGCCGTAGAAAGAGTAGAAGAGTCGTTGTAGTGTTAAAAACATATGGGGAGGACGAATTGGAGATAATGTGACTGCCGAACCGGTTCGGGCCTCTCTGGTTTGCGGTGTTCGTTGGTCTAACCGAACGTGCAAGAAGACTGGCGGCGGACGGCGTACCTTGATGCCGCATCGTGCGCGATGCTACACATGATTAATGTCTTAGAGTATGCCGGCATTCTCCGTACCTGAACCGCGAACTGCCTGATGTCGAAGCCATACTTGGCTGCGTCATGCTCCATCGCCGCCGCTGGGTTAGGCAGCCGCTCGGGACCAAAAAGACTTCGTGTTTCATCCTCATCAGCATCTCCCTCTTCGCCCTGCCACTCATCCCAATCCTCATCGCGACCTGCTACGCCGGCATTCAAGAGCTGCTCATCGTCATCTTCTGATGAGCTGACATATGAGCTTGTTTCGTCGTTTTTGTGATGAGCCATTTCGAAGCAAATATCCAACGCATTTCGTTGCGCTGCCTGACCAACTTTCGCTGTTTGCACGACACTTTCGGTTTCGGTTCCAAAGACAGCGCGTAGGTTGAATTTCAGGTATGATCTAATTATTAAAGAGAAGACTCAACATATGTCCGCTGTTTAAACTTCAACGTGGGCATAGTAAGTTCTCTGCCTACCCCTCCGTTTCGTGGCAATCGCTATCTCTAAGTCAAGTATATTTTTAAATTGAATTTAGTAGCACAAAATACGCCCGCTGGGTGTAAATCCCCACGTGTCAAGCTTGGTTAGGCGATAGTCCGCAAGATCGCGCCATCGTCGCTCCACTTTGAAGTGGGAGGCCATGGAGGCGGAACTTCAGCAGCTTGCAACCGTCTTTCAGCAAACCCTTTCACCGGATAAGGTGGATAAGCTCGAATGTTCCGGGATGAGCGTGTCGGCACGCAGTCGGCATACAGTCCGCTTGAAACGGGCGCTCCCATTTCATCACGTAGGATGCGATCAAGGCTGCAGAGCAGCAACTGAAGGCGCTAGCCCAGCAGCCTGGGTACTGCATGAAGGTTCTGAAGGTGGGCGTGTTTGGCGGCAAAGCACAACTCCCTTTGCCGACCCATCCACACGCCATATGCATAATGGGTACGTGTGTTGCGCCTGCAGCTCACGGCCACGCCCATAGATGACAGCATCCGTCAGTCGGCGGCAGTGAACCTCAAGAACGTCGTCAAATACCGTTGGGTAAGGACGGCATACCCGGGCCCATGACACTGAAGGGGTCGGTATGGATTTCTGCAGCTTTTGGCACCCATGTTGAGAACCCTTTTATAGGGTTGGTAAGGTTGGGTGCATCGCAACTTGCCAAACGGCTGCGGTTCTGGGCCCCTAGCACGGCATTGATTATGGAGGAATACGGAGCCAAGCAGGCGCGTGTTGTTGTGTTTGGACGCAGGTGCCAAGCGAAGCTGATCTCTATGGAGGTGCGCAGCCACTCCCAGATACCGAGAAGGTAGGCAGCCTTATGGCACGCGTGCGACCAACACTTATCACATTATGACCATCCAGGCGGCTGCTGCAGCTTGTAACCTGGAACCTGCAGGTTCATAGCAGGTTTCCCAGCCACCCAATTAACACTAACCACAGCAAAGAATCCACAGCACCAAGCCAAGCTTACCTGGGCGCCTCCTTGGGGTGCACCTCTAGAGCTTGTCCGAGTGCTGGCGCTTCTTTCTCTTGACGTGCGGCGTTGGCGTCGTCGTTGGCGGCTGCCCTTTCCCAACACACCCACGACCCAATTCACAGGTCCAAATTAAGCAACTGCTCGTGGGTGTGACGCTGTCTACGCCGCCGCGCGTTTCAGCTCAGCTAAGCGAGGCGATGTCCATCATCTGCGCCTACGACTTCCCGGCCAAGTGGCCCGAGCTGCTGCCGGAACTGGTGTCGAAGCTGGCCACGGACGACTTGACGGTCGTGCGCGGCGTGTTGCAGGTGCCGGCACATTAGCGATTGGCGTCTGGAGAGCGGGAATGAGGGGAAACGAGCCACCAAGCTCAGCATCTGGGTGACGGGGGAACCGATGGGAAAGAGTCGCAACTGCCCGGGGGGGGCCGGATGCTCACAGGGCCCGGTGTCTCAGCATCCGCGTGTCTGTCGTAGCTCTTAGCAACAAGCTGCGCGGTTCCTCGCCTCACCTTGGAAACCTATTCCCGGCGGATTCCAATGCCAAACACCACCTGTGTGTGTGTGGTGGTGGGGGGGGAAATTCTGGACTGTCCGCAAAGGCTGCAGCGCTGGCTGCGTGGCTTTGTCGCAATGCATACAAGCATGCTCCACAAATCCCCCTGTGTGACGTGACGGGTGACGGCGACGGTGTGGGCTCCATTTGGATTTTCACTTCGTGCACACTGCCATCGCGCATCATGACTGTACATATCATGGTTGTACGTCATGACTGTACATCATGACTGTCTACACGAGCCCGCTGTTTGCCTTGAATGTCGTTATTGGAGACGCATCCCCACCCAATCCACGTTGCGCTTTGCAACAATAGGTTCAAAAACGGATCGGCAATGTAGTGTAGTGCGATCTGGGTTTTCGGTGGAAGGCATGTACGGGCCCGCATGCCGCCGCACCTATGTGCTGCGCCCGCCCCATCTACTCCTGCAGAAGCTGCACCACCATCCTGTTTTCATGTTGTCTTTTGAAGACTACCTGTCACGGCGCTTGTACCACCACCCATACATAGCGCCGCACCGTCGCAAATAGGCCTCCGCAAGCCCCTAGTGGGTATTTGAACTTGTACCTTCCCACGACGTTTCCTGACACTCCCTCTTGCATGCATCGTGTATGGCGTGTCGTCCGTTACCGCCATTTTATCTTTGTAACATCCGCTTACATCCTCGCAGATAGCGAACAACGTGTTCAAGCGGTTCCGCGGCCAGCCGTCCAGCAACAACGCGCTGGCTCAGGAGCTGGACATGTGCCAGCAGCTATTCCTGAGGCCGCTGCATGAGACGACCGTGAAGCTCGCGGGGCTGTTCCCGGCGCTGTCAACGGCGGGGGGCCCCGCCGCCAACGTAGAGCCGCTGAAGCAGCTGTTGAGTTGCATTCGCCTGAGCTTCAGGATCTTCCACTCGCTGTGCTCGATGGGGCTGTCGGAGGTAGGCCATGGTCAGCCCTGGCGATTCCTCCTCTCTCCTGGGGCCGGGATTGGGTAGGATCCCGATATTGGCGTGGCGGGGTGTTGGAGGTCGCCGAAGGGCTAGAGGGGGGGTTTCAGGAGGTCTCAGTTGGGCTGGTCGCCCCGCTCCGCTCCCACCAATCCAGTTCGTCATCCGTTCGGCCACAGCGAAGGGTGGCATAGGGCCACAGGGGGCCCCGGGGGGGTTCTATCGCCCGCGCGTTCTGTTGGTAACCTTGGTGTGCATGCAGGCGACCGAGGCGGAGCTGGGCTTCTGGATGGACGAGATGCACAAGATGCTGACGTACGAGAACCCCGCGTTGGACGAGCAGGAACCAGAGAAGGAGAGCGTGCTGGATGGCGTGAAGACGGCCGTGTGCCAGGTAAAATTGGGGGAAGGGAAATCGCACCTGGGGACTGGGACCCTTACAAGAACACCTTTGCTTAAAAGTTACAGTAAATGTTTTGCTCTTTTCACTTGCATCCTAAATTTATGTGTGTATGCGTCTGTGTGTGTGTGTGTGTGTGTGTGTGTGTGCACACCCTCACGTCTCCATTCCCATTTCCCCCCCCCACACCCGATGTATCTATCCATCCCTCAATATCCCCATCCGGCAGTCCGTGGACCTCCTGTTGGAGATTGACGAGGACACCTTCAAGCCGTACCTGCAGCGCTTCGCCGCGTCGGTGTGGCAGGTGCTCATGAAGATTTCCCACAAGCCGGGTCAGGTACGGGTGGGCCCCTGGGCGGGCCGTTGTCGACTTGGCTGTGTGACTTGACCGCAACGCGCGCACGTCCACAACGCGTGCTTCAGTTTCGGGTCATAATGCCGCGGCCGGGATGGCGATTGTCTGGATGATAATGACAATGACGAAGGCGGCATTGGGGGACATGGTGCGAATGGCAAAATGAAGGTGGTCTGCAGGGGCCATGTGCAGCGGCGGCACGGAACAGCGGCGGCTAGTCGCCCCACCGGAGTGAGCAGAGCTGTATGCCGGTGGTGATGATTTGGTCAAGCGATCGGTGTTTTTTTTCTGTGGATTGATGCCCACGCCGCACCGGTCTCACACATGATGTAATCTGTATGCCCGGATACCTTGTCCTCGTATCGGTATCCCTACAGGACAACCTGGCGATGGCCGCCATCAAGTTCCTCAACACAATTGCCAAGGGCGTCTTCTCAAGTAGGTGTTGTCCTGAAGAGTGCTGGACCCTCCAACTGCTATATGCTTTCCTGGGTGAAGGGATGCGCCTGGATCGGGAGGTGGGGCCGTGGGAGGCACTCTACTTGTTGCATTTTACACGTGATTACACCAGAAGAACCAACACCTGGATACGTGCGCCTATCGATACGCCTCGGTGATGATACGCCTCAGCAAGACCCGAAAGGATCGCCGTGAAACAGGAGTTTGGGAAACACTCTTGCCTCCTTGACTATCCGATGGATCCTATATCTATCCGAAGCTCAGAGAGACGACTTGGGGATGCCCTGCGTTTCATTCTCCTCAAGTGCACTGCGTCCCGTCCGTCTTTGCTTGCTTTGTGTAGACCTCTTTTCGGCGGATGGCGCGCTGCAGCAGATCTGCGAATCCGTCATCGTGCCCAACCTGCGTGTGCGGCCCGAGGACGAGGAGATGTTCGAGATGAACCCCACGGAGTACATTCGGCGCGACGCGGAGGGGGGCGACAGCGACACGAGGTGAGCCACGGGGCGGTGGGCTACGGGCCGCTGAGGGTTGAGTGGCGTCGCAGTCGGGAAGGGTAAAGTCCTTGCATCGGACTCAGTTTTGCAAGGACAGTGACGGGGGGGACAGTGGAACGAGCCCGTGTGGGTGTGGCATGCTTTTCCAGCCGTTGGTGGGCCATCATGGTGCGCGTGGATGATGGTGCCTCAAGGTAAAGGATGTTAGGAGCGGGGATATGGAGAAGATTCGCAGTGTGCCCATGAAAGTGCGAAGATGAGGCGGCCTCGTGTTCGGACATATCAGGGCTCCTGAGTCGGCTAGAGCACCTAGTCTCTTTGCGCGTCTGGGTGCTGTATCTAGTTCATCCTGCTCGCCGCTTCGCTCGTGGTGCATAATACTTGGATAATTGAATCGCAGCCTGCGCACTAAAAACCAACTAACCAACACTAACCAACACCAACCAACACTAACCAACCAATAGTCTGCAGCTAAAACGTTTACGCATTTGGGTAGACGCCAGTCAAGTCAAGTGGGTGGGGGGGAGCAGCCAGTCAAATAATTTTACATATCGATTCCTCGCTTGTGCTTGTGCCAACCACAGACGCCGCGCGGCCGCTGACCTTGTTCGATCACTTACGGAGCGCTTCCCAGCGGAGGTCTCCCGGCTATTTACCGGCTACATCAGTGAGTACGGACTCTCACTGCGCCGTGGCTTGTCTGCTTGCATGTAAAAGGCTGGGTGGGTGGTGCGACTGCCTATGGCCCAAGCAATGTTGCCTGTTGCTGGGGTCTTCCCGTTCGGCATGCCTTCTTTCCTTCCTTTGCTGTTGGCGTCATCCCTTCCCGCACGTTATACTACGCGCACTTTTACTCCCTACCCCCGCGTGTGTGGTTCACTCGTGTGTGGTTCGTCTTTCTCCCCCCCCCGCGCTGTTCGGTGTATCGACCGGGCAAAAGACAATCCACTGCTAGTTCGTCGCTTTCGCATCCCGCGTCCTCGGCCGCCTTAAAACCGCTTCCTTCCCTCCCCTCCTCTCCCTTCTTCACCCTTCATCATCCAGCTGCGGCCCTGGCGGACTACGCAGCGTCTCCCGCCACAAACTGGCGGTCGAAGGACTGCGCCATTTACATGGTCACCGCGCTGTCCGTCAAGGTGAGGCCGGCCGGCCGCATGGCACAGTGCGGCATAACCGCACTAGGGATGATGCACCCCAACAAGCAGACGGGTGTGGCGCCATTTGGCTGTGCACTCCTGGGGGCCACTCCCAGTCACACGCCCTGTAGCGACTCCGAACCCAGCCCAGCCTGGCCGAGCCAGGCCTCCCCACTGTCTTCACTTCTTCCCGCACATGTCCCGCGCGCACGCCTAAGCCTCTTCCGTATCCTCATTTGCAACGCGCTCCATCCGATACCATCTGGGTCTTACCTGGCTCTAGTTTGTATTTTTTTCCTCCTTTTCTGTACCTGTACCTTCTTCACATATCCTCTTGGCGGGTCGCCTCCATTCATGCAGGGCCGCACCGCCGCCCATGGGGCCACCAGCACGACGCAGCTGGTGAACCTGTTGGAGTTCTTCTCCGCGCAGGTGCTGCCGGAGCTGCAGGTGGGGCGGGCTGGCTGGGGATAGAGACAGGCTGGGGAAGGGCGGGCATGGGAAGGGCGGGCTGGGGATAGAGACAGGCTGGGGAAGGGCGGGCTGGGGATAGAGACAGGCTGGGGAAGGGCGGGCAGGTTGTTCAGGGCGGCCATGACCTGGTCATGCGGTCGGCAGGCGACAGCAGGGCCAAGATGCACTTCGGGATATGGTTCGGATTTGCGGCGGTCCACGGCAACGGATTCAGCCCGTTTGGAGTGGAAGAGGAAGGTCACACGCACTGAGCAGGGCGGGACTGTTTTACTGACTGTCCAAGAAGGGATAACGATCCCGTGCCTGCTTGGATGCCTTGTCGCCCCGGTTGGGGTTTGCCAGCCTGATGCCCCAGCGGCTTGCGTCTGTGTCTATGTGCGGTGCGCGCGTTTAAGGCATGGATCCAGAGATGATAAATTTGAAACCCCCGGAGCCTACTGGTACCTACCGGTCTTCCTCGCTCCGGTTGTCCTGCGTGCGTGCGTGCGTGCAGAACCCCAAGATCAACGAGAATCCGCTCCTGAAGGCCGATGCCATCAAGTTTGTCACGACGTTCAGGTGCGTTGTGGATCAAGTGCTGCGTTGCCTGGGCCGTTAGTCCTCCCCCTCCTTCCCCCATAGTATTCCCCTCGTCCCCTTCCACATCTGCTCATCGTACTTCATACAGCTGTGTTGGCGGTCGGCGTTGCTTGGTGGATAAGCAGCGCGTGGCTTGTAGGACATATTTCCCAGGCATATATGTACATATATGTATACACATATGTACATATATGTATACACATATGTACATATATGTATACACATATGTACATATGTGTATATATGTATGCATGTATATATACATATATGCCGCATATGCCTCACGGCGTGCCGTCGGTCTTCAGATATACGGGAGTGCGCTCACGGTTTGTTAGTTAGTGCGCGCGCGCGGGCTTTTGGGCTGCTGCATCCGCTTCTTCGATGCTTCAGTGCTGCTTTCCTGTCAGCTGCCTGACAAGTCCCTCAATTACTTCTTACCCATCCGCTTGGGCAGGTCCCTGCTTCCCAAGGAGGCCTGCCTCGCTAGCGTGCCCTGCCTGGTGGCGCTCCTTGCCTCCGAGTACTGCGTGGTCCACAGCTACGCCGCCATCTGCTTGGAGCGCCTGCTCAGCCTCAAGGAGCCGGGGCAGAAGACGCTGCGCTTCACGCCGGTGGATCTTGGGCCCAACTTGTCGGTGAGCTGCGTCGCGAGCTCGCTAGAGTTACAAGTTACAAGTTACAAGTTCCGCACACAAGTGCGGGTGTGTCCGCTAGAGGCGTTGTGGCAAGTGAATGTGTTTCCGACCGGCTGTGGCGCCGGAGCCGGCGCGTGATCTGTTGCTCCCCTGCTGCATTAAGAGAATGCTTTTACAGTTTCCGCGGGTCCATCCGCTTGAGCTCTCTGAACCATGGACTCCAAATCCCATTGTTTACCTGAAACCGTTCTTATTCGGTTTATCCCTTACAGCCCGTTTGGCTCAGTGGCCTAATGGCACACACACACACACAGATACACACACACAGAAACACAAACACAGATGTGTGTTGCGCCTCAACATTTCCACAGTCTTTTTGTTATTTAGGGTGACGGGGCCGAACATCGCCCAAAAATGTCGGTGGAAGTGGATAAAAGCAAGTAGTGAAAGCCGTGTGTGATAGGAAAACGCGTGTGCGCACATTCCGCTTTCCCCGCCGTATACAGCCCGGACTCACGGTAATGCCCTATCCTGCCGTGCAGGTCCTCCTTGAGCGGCTGTTTGCGGGCTTCAAGCTCCCGGACAGCTCCGAGAACGAATACCTCATGAAGGCTATCATGCGCGTCATCGGCTTTGTCGGGCCCGCCATCTCGCCTGTCTCGGGAGTCTGCTTGCAGGTTAGCGCTAGGTCACAGCTATATGCCCCCGCACCTAACCCGGCAATACGCCCAGCCGGGGGCGCTCTAGGGAAATGCACTCCTTGCCGTGTCTTGCATGCTCCATCCCATTCGCAGCCTTGCAAGTAGCGCCGCCAACCATCTCCTGGCTAGTTCTACAAAAAATAGCCCGTCCTTAGATCTTTATTTGGTTCATGAATCGACCCACGAGTAAGGAGAGGGTCAACGGCGAGAGGTTCATGTCTGATGCAATACATGGATAATGTTAACAGCTCTTCATGTGTGGCTGGTTGATGAGACATGTCGATATGTGTATATGTGTGTATATACTCACACGCAACAAGTCGCCTGCGCACAGATAAGGCATTTTTGGCGCCTCAGTCACTCTAGCACTACTACTATTACTACTATTGACTAAGTGTACGGTTCCAGCTGTCAAGCGTTCGCGAGTCCGCCCTCTTGACCCCTATGCTTCTTATCACCCGTTTTGTTTTTAAATGTTTTTACTCCGCGACCTGCCGTGGGACAGCGCCTGGCGGCCATGCTGGTGGAGGTGTGCCGCAACCCGCGCAACCCCTCATTCAACCACTACCTCTTCGAGAGCGTGGCGGCGCTCATCCGCCATGGCACCGCCGCCAATCCCGCCAGCATCGTCGAGTATGAGCAGGCGCTCTTCCCGGCATTTGAGCTAGTGTTGCAGCAGGACGTGCAGGTACGAAAGGGCAGCGACTGCTGGTGGTGGTGGTGGTGGTGGTGGTGGTGCATCTGATACTGGGAAAAAAACTTGTCAGAGGCTTCTGGTCCACCTTCCACCCCAGCGCATCTGTCCATCCATCCGCCATCCTTCGTTGTTCCTTCCTTCTTTCACTTATAGAGCGCGGCTCCGCTACCAGTCGCTTTGAAATCCGCACCTATCGTACATTTGTAGGGTACGTCTGTGGAGTAGGCAGGAATCCCAGCTTTGGGCATTTGCAACAAACACGTTCTTCCCCTATCGTTTTTTTCTGACAGGAGTTTCATCCGTACGTCTTTCAAGTCTTCTCGCAGCTCATCGAGCTCCGCCCGGCACCGCTGCCGCAGCTGTATCTCCAAATTTTCCCGCCGCTGTTATCGCCCATGTTCTGGGAGCGGTCGGGCAACGTGCCAGCGCTGGTTCGACTGCTGCAGGTGGGTGAAATCGAAAAACACAGCGGCAGCGGCGGGTACGGCTGCCTTGCCGCGCACCTCGCTCTTCGTTTTGCGCCCTCTCCGATCTCATCCCCACGGCTTGTCCGGTACCCTAATTATCCTAATTATCCTACACAAAGTATTTCCTATCGATTTCCCCTCGATTACGGTTTTTTCACCATGCTTTCTGCAAAACCGACGCCGAACCTACAAAATCGAACCGAGCTGATCTTTTACTTCCAACCTTCTTAACTCGCCCGAAGGCCTATCTGACGAAGGCGCCCAACGAGGTCGTGTCTGGTGGCCACCTAGTGGCGGTGTTGGGCGTATTCCAGAAGCTTCTAGCGTCCCGCGCTCACGACCACGAGGGCTTTTACATCGTCAACGCGATCGTGGAGTCGTTGCCGCTGCAGGCGTATGTGCAGTACCTCCCGTCTATCTGGACGCTCATGTTCCAGCGACTAAGCAGCTTCAAGACCCCGAAGGTGGGGGAATTTGGCAGCCAGTAAATTTGCGAGTTCTACAAAGTAGCACGACGGTCTCCCCATCCGCATGCGCCACGTCCATTCTGTGCTTCTTGAAATCCGCTATGCAAGTGCATTGCATTTTTATTACTGCGACGTCTCTCGTCTCTCTTCTGTGGTGCTGCCGCAGTTTTGCCGGTTCTTTTGCGTGTTCCTGGCGCTGTTCGTGTGCAAGTACGGTGCAGCGGTGGCCGCTGAGCAGCTCGACAAGGTGCAGCCCGGCATCATCTACATGCTGCTGCAGCAGGTGCGTGGTGTAAGCGCTGGCTGTGGCTGGTGCATATGATTAAGTAGTGCAAGCGTTGCTTTCCGACCTGCAAGATTACTCTTATCAGCATGTCAGAATCGCAATACGTTGTTAACATATCAAGACCGTACTTTTCGTGTTCATCCCATTTACACCCCACATCATCGCTTAATTAACGCCGTCGCGGCATCGGGTCGTCCTTTTCTTCTTCGCGCAGGTGTGGCTCCCGACCGTGCCCTCCATCGAGGGCTCCGACGAGGAGAAGCTGGTGACGGTGGCGAGCGTCAAACTCATCACCGAGCTGCCGGGTTTCGGAGCTACCGGCGCACACGCGGCGCTGTGGGCAGCGGTGCGCAAGGGGCTTGTGGACAAGGTCTCTGGAGGCGGCGCGGCCAAGGGCGGGTCGGTGGAGCAGGAGGACGAAGACCAAGACTTCGAAGAGATGCAGGTAGGAGATGCAAGATAGGCGTGCGAGAAGGAAAATCGAGTGTGATGTGGTGGTGGAATGGGTCTGATGTGGTGGGATACGCAGGGTCCGGGGACGCCCTCTGCCAGGTTGCCGTTCTATCGGGAAAGCAGCTGAAGTGAAACTGTCCACTGGCACGTCGCAATCGCCGAAAGGACTGTTGTCATGTAGGCCAAACGCATCAGCTGTAGTAGTAGTTGTTGTTGTTGTTGTTCCTGTCTGGATGCGTCCGGCAAAAAAAATGCGACGCGTTATATGGTGTGGAACCGACCATCAATCGATTATATACACTTCAAGAACCTTAATAATACCTTGAAAGGTGAACTGTCAACGAAAACCTCTTGCTGCTTCGGTGCGCGCGTACGTCTAGGCTAACTCGCAGCTGTTGTGCTGCCGTCCCTGGTTTGCAGGGCTACTCCGCCGCCTACGCTCGGCTTGCGAATGCCAGCAAAGTAGAGCGACCTGTGTTGGCGGAGATACCGGACCCCAAGCAGTACGTCCAGGAGGCGCTGGCGAGGGTCGGTGCCTGAGAGTGGCAATGAGAGAACCTTTAGGTTGCCGCGGAGTGGCGACGCAGTGGCATAGCATGGTACAGGAACTCATTTTAGTATGGTGCGTCTAGCGCCTCATGTGCAATTCTAAAGGAGATATGGGGGTTAGGCAAATCTTCAGGCAAAACAGAAGTTTCCTTACCTGCAATTATTGATATAGAGCGTATATGCAGTTCCCGGATAATGCAGGCAGAAGATATTATCCTCTTGTGCTGTTGGGCGAATCTGAAGTGCATGGAAGTAAGGCGGGGGACGCGTCCGACATACGACACAAGGAAATGCTGGCTCCGGAACGAATTGGAATAGTCAGGATCTCTTCGTCGCGGTTAGGCTCTGAAGGTCACGGTTCTGCCGCCTTATGAGCAAATTTCGTGTTTTTCTTTTGCGAAGCTGCAACGGGGCTCCCCGGCCCATGGCAGCAGTGTGGGTGGGATGGGCTGCATGGGGCAGGGCTAGTCTTTTCCGCATGGATGGGTGCACACAGCCTGCGGAATGGGTGGAGAGTGTGCTTGTGTGTGGGTTCTCTGAGGCAGCGTCGGCGTGTGTTGTTTTCGTGTGTCTCCCGAGATGTCACCTCACATGTAGAGGTGTCTTGTGTCTTGCGCCTATGTACGTGTGAGTTGTGCGTGGACTTGGTCTTTGGCGTGTGCGTGAACGTCTGCGTGTGAGTGAGACCTCGGGCCAGGGGCCAGTCTACCGAAGAATTCTCTTTCTATGTGGGAACTGCAAACTGCAAACAAGTGAGAGGTGCGAGTGTCTTTATATGTCATGACGGGCCGACAGAAGGAGAGGGAGCGCAGCTTGTCAGGGTGGGATGGATTTGGAGATGTGCGGCAGAAAAATGGAAGCGGAGGGGAGGAGCGTTTTATGGAGCAGCTGAATGGATTGCATGCAGTTGTGACGGAAGGCCTAGGGGGAGAAGAGGATGTCGCATGTGCCAGGATGCTACAACAACTTCGTGAAATACAGAGTTTCTTCGAAGGTAACCGTGTCTTTTTTCGAAAGGCCATCTGGTCGAAGTGCAGTCAACGCAGCCAACCAGCCACCTAGCTAGCCTGGCAGCTAGCCAGCCGGGCAGCCAGCCAGCTAGCCAACTAGCCAGGTAGGCAGGCAGGTAGCCAGCCAGATAGCCCCTAGCCGGCGGTAGCCCCTAGTGCCCCCTATCCCCTAGTACCAGCCAGGCAGCCAGCCACCTAGCCACCCAGCTAGCCAAAGAGCTAAATGCTGTATCCTTGGCGTGTCACGGGATTCTGACATCCGCCGATCGGTACTTTCTGAAGTCGTTATCGGCTAGCCACCCACCCAGCTAGCCAGCCAGCTAGCCAGCTAGCTAGCCCCTAGCGGTGTTCCATACTTAGGATGTATGTTTCATACTGTCATTATATATTGTACTCCAGCCGAACGAACCGCCATATTCGCAGTCTTAACCACGACGTTAACAAGCAAAACCTAGCTAGCGAGCCGTGGAGACATGGAGTGCTATTTCTCAGCCGCTGGTGGCGGCGCCGCTTCGGTGTCCATCCGCCGCTTCTTCTTCCGCCGCGGCCAAAGCCTCCATGGCAGCCTCATGCCTCCGCTGCGCCGCCAGGGCCTCGCCCGCCTCCATCAGCGTCGTCGGCACCACGCCACACAATCCCGACTGCATTCCATGCGTCGCCCTTCCCGAATCCCCCGCCGTCGCCGCCGCCGCTGGCGGCGGCGCAAGGAACGCCGCCGTCAGCGTCAATGCCAATACGTGCTGTGCAGGCGCCGACACATCGTACTTCCCCACCCGTACGACGACACGCAGCGCCCGGCCGCCGGGCTCGGACCACACCACCCTTGCGACGGCGTGCAGCATGTCGCCTACCCGCGCAGGCGCGCTGATGGCTCCCTCCTCCATCCACAGCAACTCGCAGGGCCCGCCGGCGAACGACGCCGCCGCCGTCGCCGCGTGCTCGTACGCCAAACGCAGCAGATGGCCACCAAACACGGTGCCGCTGGTGTTCCGGTCTTGGAACTCCGCAATGACGGTACGGTGCACCTCTGTGTGGCGAATTGGCGTCGCCAATGCGGCCGTACTAGTGGCGCCGGCAGCGGCAATGGCGGAGTCACGGAACTCGCCAGTCACGTGGTTACCGCCGCCGCTGGCGGCATCGTCTACACGTCTTTCCCCGTCATTCACCCGAGGCCGTTTAGCGGGCCTTATGCAATCCGGCGCGTCCGACGGCGGCGCCCTCGCAGCCTGCCCTTGCTCCAAATCCGGATCCTGTCCCAGCGGCGGATCCAGCGCTGAATCCGGTTCCAGTACTCGTAACCCCTCCGCATCCGTAGGAATTGAACGTGCAAACTCAGACGAAAGGATGTTGTCGTACAGCATCCGCGCCAGTTGAGGCTCCGCCAAGTCCTCTCCCGCCGGCGCGCCGGCGCCGCCGCCGCCGCCGTCACGCAACGGCGATGCCGCCTTGCCAGGGCCCGGAGTCGCCGTCGCAACGTCGCGGTGTTCTCGATCTCTCCTGGCTTGCCGCTGGCGCTGGTGCTCGCGGCCCCGCTGAAACAGCGCCCGCTCCAATTCGTCCCGCGGGTGCAGCGGCGGCACATCCACGGCGCGGCGGAGGGATCTGTCCCTTAGCGCCATCACGAATTCCGCCGTCGCGACCAAGTGGCCGCGCGGCAGCGCCACCAACGGATGTGGCGGATGCGGCGGCAGTATTGAGGACTGTGTCGAGGGCGACAACCCGTCAGTGGTTCCGCCAGCAGCGGCGGGACCCGCCGCCGTCCCCGCCGCCGCCGCTGCCGCCGCCGCCACTTCCGCCGCCGCCTCGGCTGTCGTAAGCTGTAGCAGGACTTCCATGCTGCTACGGCCAACCCAGGTCACCTGCGTTATCGTCGCGGCACCGCAGCGGCGGAAAGCTGGCAACTGGCGACGGGGCCTCCTACTTAAATCTCCATTTTCAATGGAGCTATAACGCTGCCTGGTTAAAAACAGCATATGTAATGCTGTTCCCATTTTGGCCCCTTGCTTGGCCCTTCGACAGCGGCAACCCCAACTCCCTTGTTGTTACACACGGGTCTATACCGCCAGGTCGACTAGGTCTTTTCTGCTCGTGCCGCCGGTCGCATGTTGCTCATCATCCCCTGCTTTGCGTTTTTCCAAAATGTTTTTCCAAAATTTTCAGACCCTTAAGAGGTGTGGTCATGCGTTCCCCGCATCACCGCACCTGCCCCGCCATACGAAGGTCCGTCGGCGCTGGCGCTGGCGCAAGCAGCCGCCGCCCGCCGTCAGCAGCCGCCGCCGCCGCCGCCGTCACTGGCAATAACCCGTCTCCCGGCCTCAGGTGCACGTGCCACGTCAGACGCTCCAGGAACGCCGTCACCAACATGCTGTCCGGCACGTGCCCCACGTGACGTGCGGCAACGTCAGCGGCAAACATGTCGAAGTCCTCGATGATTAGGGCCGGGTCCAGATCTGAGGCTCCGGGTCGTTGGTACGGACGCACAGCCAGGGCATAGGGGTAGCGGACCTCCATGTACGAATGCGGCGGCGGCGGCGGCGGCGGTGACGGCAGCGGAGAGGAAGGCGAGCCTGGCGGCTGCAGCGGCGGCGGCAAGAGGTGCTGGTGTTGGTGTTGGTGACAGGGCTGCTGCGGATCTGCGTGGTGGTGTGGATGTTGGTGTTGGTGCTGTCCAGCGGCGGAGCCGTGACTCGGCGACGCGTCGAGAGACGACGGGGTGGCGTTGGAAGCCGTACCGACGGCAGCCGCCGCAGCGGCGGCGGTGGTGGTGCCGCCGGCGACGGCTGTGGCGGACTGGCTGCCCCGGCGCCTGCGGGAGGATCTGACTTCCCCTCCAGTCGGGGAAAGGGTGGAGGCGGAGGCGGGGGTTGATGTCGATGGCTCGGTCGCCGACAAATCCTAGGGGAAGGGGGCGCACGTCGCATTGTGCACAAAATTATAAAAGGCGTTAGGTAGGGGAAAAAACTCAGGAAAAAGGAAAAGAAACGTTTTATTGTGCCTTCTTTGGCGTTTTCATGGATTTCCTGCAGATTAATGAAAGCCGCAAGCTACACAAGTGGCCGTGTGCAACATGTATGCGTGTGTTGGGTTTGTGTATGTGTATGTGTACTCCGTGATACAGGTACGAAGAAAGAACCAGGAAAAAAGACCAGGAAAGGCGGTGTTGGTTTTTTTTCCTGCTTTTCTGTTTTTCTTGGGGTATGCCAATCTGCCATGTGTGCGGTGTACGGTTTAAATGGTACGTACCGCGACGTACAGCTCCAACCGGCGCCGTTCGAAGCTGCGACTCCTGTAGCCGCTGATAGGGAAGGTGTATGGCATAAAGCTGCGGAGGTCGGGGGGGCTGATTTGCGTGAGGCTGCCATCGGGGGGGGCCCGCAGCAGGGGCTGCCTCGCTGCGACGCGCGCCAGGAACCGCAGGTAGGGATGTGTAGCCATGCCCGCCAGAACCACTTAATTTATAGAGCGCCAACGATGCAAGTGCACATGGAGAATTGAGCTGTTTTGCATGGCACGTGGGAGCTTGGCATCCGTCGTTGGATGTCGAATGGTGGAAGCGTTCCTCGCGGCGCCCAACGAGGTGTACTTAGGCGCTAAGCTATCTGGATATTACCGTATTCTATGGTTGTAACGCATAATGAGCGCGTTCTGAAAAAGTTGCGCGTTGCAAGCGCGTTTCAACCGATTGTATACCAGAGAGTCCGTTGGCAGAGGGCCCTCCGGCAGCTAGCTCGGCAGTAAGCACTCAGTAATCACAAAACCACAACCGGCCATATCAGAAACCAGCTAGGTAATTTAGCACGCTTTGCTGCGCTTGACTTGGAGCCACGCAAAGGAACGAGTTAATACGATTCAAACGCCTGGATTGGGAATGCTCCGGAAAAATATATAGTGCTGCTAATAACAGTTCTGATGAACAAATTGGTTGACGAGAATCGTGTCATCCGAGGTTCTAATGTTATTCCAAAGGGAGTTAGGGCAGTTGCCGTACGGGCGCCGTTGCGAAAACCGCTGAAAATTTCCTAGAACAAATATACATGATTGCTTACTTTTCTCGTCCAACATTAGCTGTAAGATATGGATTCTTTTTAATTTACCCTAGATCGAACCATGAGACATTAACTCTAAAATAGCCACGGTTCAGCCACGGCTGGCTATCAAGTTTTCATGTGACTAGGCTAGATAACCTTATATAAAATTCTAGGAGAGTTTATGAAAATGCTCCTCCGGTGTCTAGAATGTTTCGCGTCGAACGCTTACTCCTGTTTCTCAAAAGCAGCGCTGACGTCTATGGCGGTAGTCAAAGTGGGTCACTTGCTCCAGTTGCTCGCATTTATCTTGAAGGCTTGGATCCCTCCTGAAACCCTTGGATGACCCGACGTAAATGCATGTGCAACGGCTCCCCTACCTGGCGCAGGTCCTGGTGACAATCAGCATCATCGTAATAGTAGCCGTCAAGCTTGAGGACGTTCGCGTCGTAATGCAGGTCCCCGACTTAACCACCGTCGAGGGCCTCAAGAACCTCACAGATAGCCTCATGGCCATCTCCGGTGGCGGCGAAATCGCCGTGATGCAGCTGCCGCCGGGAGCGGCAGCATCAGACGCTTCCTCTCCCCCCAGCCCGCCCTTCGCACCTTTCGGTTCTGAAACCACGGACTTCAACGGGGCCGCCGGGCCGTTTCACGTGAACGCGTCCTGTCTGCTGCAGAAACGCGGCGTTCCCCCCCAAATCCACCACTACACCCGGACCATGTGCTCTTACGTGTATGCGGTCAGCGGCCTGAGCCTTCTGGCCACCTTCGCCATGGCCTGCCTGCTAGTGAGGGGGGCTGGGGTTAGCGAGGGGGGGGCTGGGGGTTGGAGGTCGCCCTGGGGGGGGGACCTGCCGACCGAAACCCAAGGGCTTGCGTTGTGCTCTTCTTCGTTTTCTGCTAAAAAAACAAACCCCTACGGCCCCCAAACTGTACGGCCGTATGGTATGGGTTCCTGGATTGGAAATCCGGTTCTTGCCTCTCTACCACCCTTTCTCCCTGTCCCGGTCATGTCCCTCTCCGCCTGCCGGCTGGCTGATCTCTAATCGGCCCTCCTCCTCCGCCCCTCCTCCTCCCCCGGCTCCCGCTCCCGCTTACGGCATCGCACCATGCCCCTTTCTGTGCAGTGGTGTACGTGTCATCTATGCGGCGTTGGTCCCATCCTGGAGCTGTCATTCGCGCTGTTGGGCACAGCTTGGTGGCTGGCGGCGGCACTGGTGCTGCAGGTGGGTGGAGGTGGACGGCGGAGTTGTAGGGGGGTTGTTGGGGGAAGGTGTTGGCGGGCGGGGAAGTAGTGGTGGGGGTGGGGAGATGGACAATACGATATTCCCTTGTGTGTCTGTCTGTGGCGGGGTACACACACCTGTGTGTTCAGTTCAAAAATTCGTCAACGCGCTGACGGTTGACCTGTCTTGATCTTTTGTTGACGTGTTGATCTTTTCCGTCCTCATATCACTACACCAACACACACGGCCCCCCCCCACCACCACCACACAGGAGAACACGACGGTGTCGGTGGACGCCCGTGACGCCGTCAAGCAGTTTATTTTTGGCGACGCCATGTCGCCGCCGCCCCCGCTGGGCCCGGAGTCATTGCCGCTGCCGTCGCCGCCGCCGTCACAACCGCCGCCGCCTCTGGGCCATGACACGGCGTCTCAGCTTCAGGCTCTGATGCAGCAGTACATGCCTCGGAGCCTCCAGCAGTGGCGCCATGCCCTTGTGGGCCTGTGCTGGGCCATGATGGGCATGTTTGCGGCGTCCAGCGTGCTGATGCTGATTGAGGTGAGCGAGCGAGGTTTGGTTTGGGAGATGTGGTCGTTTTAAGGCAGGGGGCGAGGCAGGGGGCAAGGCAGGGATCGGAGCGGGGTGAGATGGAGGTGTCTTATATACGGGTAATCCGCATGCGCTCGTGCGCTCATGCGCTCATGCGCTCATGCGCTCCTGTGCAGAAGAGGAAAACACCACCAGCTCCAACCTGCAGCCTTGTTAGACCGTTGGCAAAGCAGTTGAAAAAGGTAGTTGTATGGTTGTGTAGTTGCCCCCCACTCCTGCCTTATCCACGCCGAAGCAGTGTGCAAGCGGATAATAGCAAATCTGCTGCATATGGCAAACACGCTAGAGAACCTTGTTCACCATGTTCGCGCGGAAATTTTTCATCCTGGAAAAAGCAACGAGAAATACAAAGGTTGGCATAGAATGCTTTGACTACGGTAGAGGTCGTACTTTAGTGCCTCCTGGCTTGTCTGGGCCTTACGATGTCGCCAGCTTGTAATATCACATAACCCTGCATTCACTGCAGCTCAGAACGGGCCATGGCTTGTTTGGTTCCGGACCCTTCTCCCCCTCCTCTCCCTGACTCGAGTCCTCCTCTCCCCTTTTTTTTCTCTCCTGTCCCTGCTCTCCATGCTCTCCTTCCTTTTCCTTCCTTCTTCCTTCCTGTATTTGTGCGTGTTTTTATGAACACCTCAATGGTTGTGTCACCCTTGAAAGGTATAAGGAGCTTTTGAGGCCTCTCCGCCCTCTTTTCTCCGCCCCCTTCTGCGCCTTCACATGCAGGCTTGCGGCTGTCTATTGGATTGCTGCACGTGCGTGTGCCGGTGCTGCTGCTGTCCCAGCCGGCCAGAGAGCAGATGGCGCACGAACTTCCGAAAGCGGATGCGAGCTGGGGGGGAGGAGTACATGGAGATGTGCGGCGGCATGAGCAGCAGCGGCGGCGGCGGCGGGATGGCGTCATCCACCTCCCTAGGTGGCATTAGCAGCAGTAGCAGCGGCGGAGGCGGCGCGCCGACGGTGATGGTGGTGGCTCGCTCAGACGAGTATTCTGTAGCTGCGGGCAGCCCATCATCCAATACACGGGGATCCTTCCGGAGGGGTTGGTGATATTCATGTTGGCTGTGAAGAAGCGGTGTGAGGGCGGAAGGGTCGTACCACCCGCCTTGAGTTACTTGGTCCCCGCCCTTCGTTTATTTGTATGGGAGGGCTCGCCTGGACTGTTGCTGCTGCTGTTGCCGCCGTCGCTGCTGTCGCTGCTGCTGCTGTCGCTGCAGTTGTTGTTGCTGCTGATGGTGGTGGTGCTGCTGCGTTTTGTGTTTGTGGGGGTTTTATTTTTGGTTTTGGGTACCTTTTGGCTTTTGAAAAAGGAAAGATGATGATGCGGTGCCTTCACTCATGTGTGTTAATGTTGTGTTTTGGCGCGCGGCCGCGGTCGAGAGGGTGGGGAGTGGGACAACCACGAAATCAGATGCCACCCTTCCTTTCCTTCTGATGAAAGGGGAAGGAGAGTAGGGATGCGGTAATTTTCCGATGTTTGGTGAATGAGTGTGATCTGTTTTCTTTGCTTTGTTTTGTGAAACAAGTTGTTGATGATGTTACCCATGCATACCCAGTTTACACCGGGTCGCTGTGCTTTCCCTTTGGGTGCACGGATGTTTAGCAAAAGCAGGCAAAGGAAAAAGCCTGGGCGGGTTGCGCAGCAGAGGGCTCTGGCGCAATTGGCATTGGCGTGGCAACATGCGTGCGCAGCACGACTATTTTTAGCATGACTAAAGCCGATAGGACAGAATTGTGCGATAATATTCATATTCATGAATATGAAAAGCAACATATACGCGCTCGTGAACTTTGGACGGGTGATAAGGGGGATGAATGGAATGGAGGTTAGTGATGAGAGAAGGGTGTTGAGTGAGGGGACGCGTGCGTGTGTTGTTTTGCATATTCTCGCTTCAGGTATGTCACATGCCGCAGGAGGGAGGAGGAGACAGGACGCGGGTGGAAATGTTAACTTAGCGTTCAGCGCTTATAAAGTGGTTTGTATGTGCACAGAGGTGACCGGTTTTTATTACTTCGTGGCAAAATCCACTGCAGACCAGTTATATGACAGCTGCAAAAAAGGAGTATGTTGTACAGTGCCGGTGATGACGTCACCACCTGCTGCAGGTTTACCACATGTGTGTCACGGAGATGGTGGCCGTACATCAGGTGACGAGCGTAAGGAAGCCGATTGCTCTCCCTCTCCCCTGAGAATGAGAGAGGGTTTTACTTAGGTGCCCAGGCTCGTGTAAGGAAAATCATCTGGGCACGGGTTACAGTAGGGAGGGAGATGAGATCTTGGTAACGGAGGAGAACCCTGTTGCCACAGGTTAGGGAGGTTCAGGGTTCCCAAGCCGGGCCGCTCACGGTCGCTTGGAGAGCCCAGGAGCCAAGCCCAGAACTCAGGCAAGGGATGCATGGGCGGCATGGAGTAACGCGCGAGCTGGCAGGTTTCCACCGCCAGGTTTTGACGCCATGAGAGCTTGAGCTGGCTGGCTGACTGGCTTAGATGGAGTAAGGGGAATTAATTCCAGGGATTCCTGGCAGGTAAATTTCCGATGACTTGGCAATGCATTGGCATACAGTTAGAATTAGAGTTGCTGGTGCCGGTGGAGCAGCCCGATATAAGCCGTTAGCAGCCGATAAAAGTGGTTAGCAGCCGATGGATCAGCCGGTGGAGCAGCCGATGCAGCAGCTGATAGAAGGTACAGCCAACTGATAGGAGCCTGGAAGTTACTATTAACTGCGCGCATCCATCCGCGTTAACATGTGCAGCATTTAGATGATGTTAGAAGGTAGATTTGTCGGGGAGCGCATTGCGTATGCTTACCTCGCGGGGCGGTGGCGGTTAGCAAGCCCGGAACGGTTGAAAGGGTAAGCGAATGTACGGGGTTGCTGGCCACTTGGCTAAAATTATAGTGTTGCACAGATAAAGATTTGATTTTTAGGATTGAAAGAACTCTCTTGGCGGCAGATTCGCTTTCCTTCTTTCCGTACGTTGCTTTGTAAGCAAGACTCGGACGTATTTCGTATACAGTTCTTTGAATCGAATCTCGGCAACGGCATCACGTTTACAAGCGTTCGAATTTTTTGCATCGTAAACAACAACATTATCATCGAGTTCCTCTGACATAGCCATCAACCAGGATGGGCTGCTGTTCCGATTTGTGCAGAAAGCTATTTGTAGGGCTTCTTTCCCTGATTAAGGTGGGTTAATGTGGTGGACTAATAACCCCCTAAGGAGCTATATCCTATCGGGTTAGCTTCCATTCCATCACTTGGGGTTTGACTGCGAAAACAACGCAACGTGGACTATGAAGCTGTGACATGCTTAGATGTGGGTCCGCAGGCATCACTGCCTCTTGCCTGTTTGCTCGCCTTATGAAACGTGCCTAGTCCTACAGCAACAGCGTTGCCTGTGCCTGCCTAATGAAAGAGCTGAATCAGATGAATTATAGATGTTATCTGATGGGATTTCCCGCGTCTCCCTCCGTTACCTCCTAGCTGCTTCCATTGGAACCCATGCTAAACCCATCAGCCGTCTGGCTGGTCTGGGCCGTAAGTGCTCAAGCTCGTCATACCTAGTCATTGTGAATCATTTATTAATTCTCAAAGCCTTGAGCACTATCATATCCTCCTTGACCGGGCTCATCATGCCTTCAACCACATTCCACAGGTCGGTGTTTCTACAGCGATTATCGTCATCGTCGCCGTCCACCTTTATAAAGCCGATATTACATGGAAAAAAGGCGACCTGCCCGGTAAGCTTCTCCATGCTGCTCCTGCCCACCGGTCGTTTTGACTGTACGCTGGGAATCTACCTGAATTCGTACGAAACGGTACAAATGTCAATACATGACACGACATGAGCCTTCGAATTGGTTTAAATCACATGAACTTGTAACATCTACACGACAGCGTGGACCAACTGCACGCACCTCTTGATGACCTCTTGATGATGACGGCGCCCGAACCCAGTAGCAGCCCATCCCTGCGCGAAGCCGTGTCTGAAACCCAAGCTGTGCTCTCCGCATAGACCGCATTCCAGGGTGCAGCCAAATATCTCCCCCCCATCAACACCGTAGAGACCGTGTCGCTGTCGCTCTGTCGCTCTGTCGCTCTGTCGGCACGCAACGGGTCCCATGAAGCCAACTGTTCCCCCCCTTACGAGTTCTTAACACAAATCTTATAACAACAATAACAACAACAAAGATCTTCAATCGATCCGCGCTAGCGCCACTGGTATACCCGTTCGCAGCTCCCACTACTACCCACTACATCAGCCGACCAGCGCACAACCACGCCCACACGCACCTCCCCTACCCTGTTTATACTTTACAGCCCTAACCAGATGTTCCAGCAAGGATGGGGTTGCTAGGATAAGCAGTGGTGATATCTATTAGCTAGATGAGCCTAACTAGGCCTCTACCCGGCGACCTCACCCCTCACCCCCCTCGCACCTCCCCTGCACCTTCACCACAGAAGTGAAACCCAGCTGCCTGATGACCGGCTCCGTACGGGGCGAGTCGGTATGCGAGTACACGTTTGCCGTGTGCGGTCTGTCCATGTTGCTCTCCATGGTGACTTCACTGCTGCTGGTGAGAGAGGGATTAGCCACACTACTGACATGCAGGCGGTTGTTTTGGCTGAAGGGCGGGAGGGGGGAGGGGAAAGAGGGGGGAAAGGGGGTAGAGAGGGAGATAGAGAGGGGGGTGTGAGATAGAGAGGGAGGGGGACCGCAGGGAGAGGCCTGCCTGCCTGCCTGCCGAGGTACGGCTCTGTAGGAGAGAGACCACTGGGTGGGCCTATTCGCATTACTGCTCATGACGGGGCGGGGCGGGGGTCGTTTCAGAAATGTGTTCGGCAATAATCTGTCCAGCTGTTTGGCTGTGAAGGACATCGTCTGTGGTGCGGAAGAAGCAAGGAAGTGGACGATTGCAGTCTCAGTAATAACAAAATAAACAGGTGTACGGACCTGATGCCGTACCTAGCATATTAGTACTACCAACCCACTTCGTGCTGTTGAGTTCCTACCGCACCTTGGCGACATGCCGTACGTACGTATCCTTCTACATACAGACAGACAGGCATGCATACGGACAGGCATGCATACAGACATACAGGCATACAGACATACTTACATACGCGGGTAAAACATTAGGGGATCACTGCATCTTCAGTGTTGCTTGAAAAGACCTCTATGAACCTCCCTGTCTGTCCGTCTGTCGGTCTGTCTCTATGTTTCATTCTACTCTCTTCCGCTCCCCTGCTAATTCCAATCCCAATCCCAATCCGTGTGTGCAGTGCGTCACGTGTGATTTGTGCGGGTTGGGCGACTGGTTCCAATTCGCCGTTCAAGGACTTCAGACGGCATGGTGAGGGAGGGGGGAGGGGAGGGGGGGGGGAGGAGGACGTCGGCAAGATTTTCAATGGTCTATAGACGGCAGGGTCATCGTTTAATAGGTAGGACCGATACATATATCGTATATATAGATCCATGGCATAGCGTATAAATCGTGCCGTGGTAGTAATAGATGGGAAAGAGAGTATTTTTTCCTTTGGCTCCTCTGTTTAAATCGTTGCCGTACAGGTGGGTCATTGCCGCCATCATCATTTCTAAGAACGTGCGTGACAGCAACGAGTACGAAGGTGTCGGGCTTCCGAAGGAGGGCTGGCGGGATGCGGTGGCGGTTATGTCCTGGGTGAATGCGGGGATCGCGTTTCTGTGCGCCGTCATCTTCCTGATACAGGTTAGTGTGAGTGTGGGGGGTTTGGGGGTGAGTGTGGGGGGTTTGGGGGTGAGTGTGGGGGGTTTGGGGGTGAGTGGGGTGTGTGAGGGGGTGAGTGTGGGGGGGTTGGGGGTGAGTGTGGGGGGTTTGGGGGTGAGTGTGGGGGGTTTGGGGGTGAGTGTAGGGGGTTGGGGGTGAGTGGGGTGTGTGAGGGGGTGAGTGTGGGGGGATTGGGGGTGAGTGTGGGGGGGTTGGGGGTGAGTGTGGGGGGGTTGGGGGTGAGTGTGGGGGGGTTGGGGGTGAGTGTGGGGGGGTTGGGGGTGAGTGTGGGGGGATTGGGGGTGAGTGTGGGGGGATTGGGGGTGAGTGTGTTTATACATCCTCCTCCATTTCCCCCCTTCTTTACTCTCTTATCTCCATCTGTCTGTGTGTCTATCCGTCTATCGGTCTGTGTCTTCTTTTCTCTCTCTCTCCGTCTTTCTTCATTTCCCCTTCTTTCACGCTGCGCCCCCTGTCGTACCCAGGCTTGCAATTGCCTTAGGAACTGCTGCTCCTGCTGTTGCGGAGGCGACGGTGACGGGGACGACTACGCCAAAAGAGCTAACGTCGTTTAGAGACGGAGGGGGGGGAGACGGAGGAGGGGGGAGACGGAGGAGGGGGAGGGCGAGAACGTTTGTTTGCAGCGCATGCATGCCCCTTTCCTCAGTGGACTTCCAGGGCCTGCCGGGGGCCCGCTGTTGATTCTTTTTTGCAGTTTCTTCCATCAATTGAATTTTCCCTCCACGTCCACCACACCGCTCCACGTCCCTCGGTGTTCCCTCAAAGGAGGGTCGGCCGGGGACTTGGCGGCAGCGACCCGGGTGGGGGTGGGGGTGGGGGTGGGGGGGCGCCGGACCGACGCGGCAAAGGACCTTGGCGCGCGCAAACAGCGCGGGTCATGTCATATACCCATACACATATACAAATATCTTGTTGTTGTTGTCGATGATGATGATGTTGATGTTGTTGTTATTACAGAGCAGGTCATGTCATAGCAATACAAATATACATAATATATCATATATATGTACATGAACAGCTAGAACGAACGTCCTCCATGGCCCATCGTGGCTCAGAGTTTTTATCAATCTGTGACCAGTGCAGGGGAGCCCGCAACGGTAGCAGTAATGCAGTAATGCCACATACATACAGAGCTCCGGGGAGGTGTTGCGATGATCAAGATGTTCTGTGTGGCGCCTTTGCTACCTCCGGGGGGGGGGGAAAGAGAGGGGGTTGCATGGAATGGTTTGCTTAAGCTGATCGGTTGTGCTGATACTGCTTTGCTGCAATGTGTGTAGCAGTGCCGCGCTCCCGGCGGTGTAGATGTGGGTAGGGGTAGGGGTGGGGGTGGTTGTCGATAATGTATGCTTTTACTGCTAGTTGCATGGACTGCTGGTAACCAACCCCCAAACGGTGGCTGGGGGGTCACTTGGCGCGTTAGGAGGTTAGAGGACTTCATTACACAGGTCTTCGTTATTGTTCATTAGGTGCCTGAGGTGCCTTTGGTGCCTGAGGTGGGTTCGTCATCACCACGTTACTGTGTGGGGTCTGTATGTTTGTCCCGGTTTGTCCGCGAGTGTCTGACAGACGACGCAGCCGCCGCTCGTACATTTCTAAACCTTCACCTGCCAGCTAATGACAGACGTACATATGTACATCCCCGTTTTCAATTTTTGCACGTCGCAGCTTTTATTTGTGTGTGTGTTTTAGTACTTTAGTTGTCCATTGAATAAAAGGTGTCCGTGATGCATGTTTTTTTTCTTGGTGGGTGTTGTGGCGTACGGCGGTGGCGGGTGGTTTGTGTGGTCGCGGGGTGAGTGTATGCAGTGATGATGAGATGGATGCAGCAGCGGCGGTAGTGGGGGGCAGCGGTGGTGTGCACCGCCACATACAGCTATACAGGTGTTATCAGGGGATTAGAGGTGGGGCGGGAGGATGGTTGGCGCTTTGTGTGTTATTCCTGCACGGGTTTTACGTTGGGGTTTGTTTTCTCTTGGACGGCAGCAGCACGACGCACCGCGGAATCCCGTTCAGCCAGCTTCGGAGAGCGACAGACAGAGACAGACAGACAGACAGACAGACAGACAGACAGACAGACAGACAGACAGACAGAGACAGACAGACAGACAGAGACAGACAGAGACAGACAGAGACAGACAGAGACAGACAGAGACAGACAGAGACAGACAGAGACAGACAGAGACAGACAGAGACAGACACATAATCGTATTCGGTCATGGCGGCTGTGTCTTCATGTTTAAGTTGTGGTACCGCTTCACGACCGATATCGGGGCTACACATACATACATATGTGTGTACATGTATGTATATATAGCCTAGTTATAATCCCTGTATTGCCGGATTGCAGCCTTTTATCTTACAGCCAGGTAAAGTTCAGAGGAAGCTTCAGGCAGGTGGTGTCGGACTGTTCGGATGTTCATAGGATAGGCTAGGGGAGCGGGCTGTGAGGCGGGGCGATGGGGTCGCACGCCCCACCTCACGCCATATTATAGTACTGCTGTGTGGGCAGGTGCAGTGGGTCAGCCTAAACAGGCAGAGCAGACAGAGACACATACACACACACTCTCTCTCTCCCTTGACCCACCCACCCACACTGCACATACCGCACATACGCACACACTCACACACACAGAGGGATGCTTTATCCCCTAGTTCAAAATGTAAGTTAAATATGTTTTTAGGTTTTATCTAGATGGGAACGTGCGTGCCCTCGTTGACTGTAGTAATCTGTTCTAGCCGCCCTTCGCGTAGTCGCCCTTCACCACGACATACAGCGCCTCCGCTTGCATCTACGGGCGCCCACATTAATAACGTAGTGGGGCTCCGCAAGTGTGGCCGTGATAACCGGTCACGGTCCCGCTCCCGCGAATGGGGAAGTTGTCGTACGGTACCCATCCTAGGAACACGCCCCCACTATGCAGTATTGTGGGTTGCGCTATTTCTATGGAGGAAGATTTTTGCAGGCCTATTGTGTACAGCCCAACGGCTGGCGTCAGGTTGAGGTTGGCTGCTTCCCGGTATATGTGGAGCGTGGCAGCAGTGGGGGGCAGGAAGGAGATTAATTACGTGTATACGCCATGCTAGTACCCTATTCCTACGAGCAAAATTCTGGTTCAGTTTTCGGAAATAGGCAACTGTAACTTACCAACTTTCTAACCCTTCACAAGTCGATTTCAGTTTCGAGGTAAATATTAAGCAGGATAATATACTTAACCCTAATTATTTATAAATTAAAGGCCGGAAGACGGCAGACTTGTTGAAGGAAGCGCGAGATGACCAATGGATGAGACAAGTGTCAGAGCTTTGCTCCGCCCTTGCCTTCCACCTTTGTATCTAGCTGCAAAACGCCATTGGGACCCTTGATCCTACTAGCCTCGGTGCAGGCGGTCCCTCGCTTGTCTCGACAGGCAGCCCAACATATTCTCAGTTTATGCCCAGCAGAGCTAGGAAATGGGCTTGTCGATCCTCTCCAAGATTGCCGTGGCCATCATGTCCCTCCTCCGGGTACGTAAGTTTTGGGAAGCAGTTATCGGTCGTTGAAATATTGCCTAGGAAGGAAGAGCGGGACCTTGACTATCTACACGCTGTTTGCTTAGAAGCCTACCTATTAGTTTACGAACAGGATGGAATGAAAACTTCGTTTGTGAGGGCCAGATCCTAGGGTTGGTCCGGTACACTTCGACGCCGGCACCAGGTGCGAACGCGCCACAACATCTTGCCAATTTCGCCAGAACATATTACCAAATCTCTGTGTGTAGCATTTTGTTTGACTTGGGCGTTTGAGATGCCTGCCTAGGAAGGACGTCACTATGGCGCTTTGTCGGAGCCACACTTTGTATCGCTCGCAAGGAAGGTTTGCTTGTTTTATATATACACCAAAGAATTCTCGTACGGCTCATGCCTCAAAGTAGGTAGGGTTGTTGACCTGCACTTGCCTTGGCCTTGTCGATGGATGGACATCCTGCAGGTCGGACTATCCATAGCCATCATCATCATCACCGCGGGACAGCTTTACCATATAAAATGGTCTATCATGAAGGATGGAGAATTTTTCTGTGAGACATTGCGCGCTGAGTAGCCGTTTCACAGTAGGTGACAATAAAAGGAGCCCAGCCGCAGTCATCTTGCACGGGCCTCGATGTGTATTGGCCCATTGGGGCTCTCTCCTCCTTCCCTTCCTCCCCCCCGCCCTCCTCCCCCTTCCCGCCCTCCCCGCGTCCTGTACATACTCCCTGTTTTACCGTACAAGCCTCCTTGGGGCTTTTACGGGGCCCCCTCTACTTGGCACCAACAGCAGTGGCACCAACAGCACCAGCAGTAGCAGCAACACCACTAATAATAGTAGCAGTAGTAGCAGTGGCAGCAGCAGCAGCACGACCACCACCACCACCACCAGCAGGCGAAACAGCAAAAGAACGATGGCACGGACTGCGATGCATTCCGCATTAGGAATACGATCTTCATACTCCATGATACCAACCCCCATGCTCGAATGGACTGAAATTATCAGCAGCAGCAGCAGCATTGTCATCGTCATCATCCTCATCACTCCAACACTTCTTAAGCCACCCAACAAGTGATGCACCCACCCAACCAACCACGAGCTCCCGAATAGCCCCGCCCGTCCCCCTTCTCTGTCCTGGAACGCAAACCCCGAACTAAGACCCTAAAACCCACAAGACTAAAACCCAAATCCGGACTCAAGTCCCGACCCCAAACCCTAAAACCCAGTCCCCCGCACCCACATGCCCGGCCCGCGCCCCAAAAAGACAACGCGCACGAATGCCTGATGGCGGGCAGCGTCGGGGGCGGCAGCGTGTGTGGTTACACCTTCGCCGTGTGCGGCCTGTCGCTGCTGCTGTCGCTGATCACGTCCATTCTGTTGGTGGGTTGGGCGGTATGGGTTACGGTTGTTGGTTGCGGTTTGTTAATTGCAGTTTGTCGGTTGGAGGTTTATTCGTTGGTGTTTGTTATCGTTGGGCTGGGCCAGGATTTGATGTGTTGTACGTGTAGCAGCGGAGCGGTCCGTCCTCAAGAGCCTCCTAGTAGCCCCTGGGGGGTTTGCATGATTGCGTGGCTGATTTTTTGTTTAGGGTTTTAGGGTTTTGTTTTCTGCCTGGTACGGCAAAATGTCGTGATCCTGATGCACGAGCCATCATGACACCATAGCACCTAGATGGCTCGTGTCGTAACTCTTGACCTGGACACGTGCACTTCGCTGCAAGTTTGCTGCAACTGCAGCTTTGCTGTAAGTGCAACCCCCTTCTTACAGGGATACGGCTACGTAGGTGGTTCGCACGGGGCTTCTTTTTATTGAATATGTTACCAGGTGTCAGTTTCCAGAGGTTTCCCCACCTACCTAACTGCCTAACTGCCTAACTACCTACCCGCACTTGACCTCAGTGCATCACTTGCGAGCTGTGTGGTGGAGGCGCTTGGGTGTCGATGCTGGTGGAGGGCTTCCAAACAGCGTGGTGGGCCGGGTGGGATGGGGTCGGGTGGGGTGGATTGGGGATAAGCG